TTTAAAGAACCTCCATACTATTTTCCACAGTGACTATAACCATTTTACATTCCTACCAACAGTGCACAAAGGTTCCAATTCCTCCACATCCTTGCCAACACTCATTTTCTGTTTAGTTTTTTTTTTTTTTAATAGTAATCATCTTATTAGTATGGAGTGAGTGGTGTCTTACTATAGTTTTGATTTGTATTTCTTTCTTTTTTTTTTTTTTCAGATGGAGTCTTGCTCTGTCACCCAGGCTGGAGTGCAATGGCCTGATCTTGGCTCACTGCAACCTCCATCTCCTGGGTTCAAGCGATTCTCCTGCCTCAGCCTCCCAAGAAACTGGGATAATAGGCACACGCAACCATGCCTGACTACTTTTTTGTATTTTTAGTAGAGATGGGGTTTCACCACATTGGCCAGGCTGGTCTCAAACTCCTGACCTCAGGTGATCTGCCCGCCTCGGTCTCCCAAAGTGCTGGGATTATAGGCGTGAGCCACCGCGCCAAGGATATACTGATATGTATTTCTCTTATCATGAGTGATGGAAAGGTATCATTTTAACATTGCTTATAATTTTCTATTATTTATGGACCACTTTCTTCATTTGGGGGAAATCACCAATGGGCCCTTAGTCATGTAGATGTGAAGCAGTCACTGCCCCGTTTGAAGGAGCCCTGATGTCACCCTATTGGCTGCAATGCAGATGTTTCATATAAGAGGTGGGTTTAGTGCATTCTTAGCAGGACTGAGTCTTTGCAGGCTTGAAAAATGCTCATCTGTCTTGCCTCTAATTTGAATTTAGAGTGGATTGGTCCTAAAAATTGTTTGCTTTGGGGAGATGGGCGGTCCTCTATGTGGAAGAGAGTGGCTCAGAAAGGATCAGCCTCTATTGAGGGCTGCTCGGTGTCTTGGACCCTGAAGGGAGGGGGCCTGTGTTGCCCAGAGGTCACCATGAGAGGGGGACGTCACACCGCCTGGGGTTTCCCATTGAGCTGCCCCTTGTGTTGAGCACTTTATAGGAACTTTCTCATTTAATTGGCATAAACCCATTTAAGGTGAGTAGTATTATTATCTTCATTTTATAGATGAGCAAAATAAAGATTAGCGAAATTAAACAACTTATCCAAGATCATAGAACTCGTGAGTCACAAGGCTAAGATTCAAGATGAGTCTGATTTCAGAATCTTTAGCCGGTGTGTCCTGCTCACACATACTCATGCACATGTGTGCACGTGGGCCAGGAGAGAGATGCAGATTTAGTCTTCCCTTTGCTGATCATGGAGGAAAGATTCTAGAAGTACCTAAGACTAAGTTTGGATGTTGCAATTTCATGGGTGTGCCAGAGGCTCCACTGGTGTGCAGGTTATTCTCTCTCTGCCCCACTCCCTCCCCAATGCATTCTCTGCCCTTCCCTATTCTGTTCTATGCCATGGGACACTGATGCCTGTAGCCTGCATCTCTACAGCCTCTTGCTGGCTGACTGCCATGTCGATTTGATCCTGGGAGACAGTGGCAGGGCATCAGAGAGTGGAGGGAGAGGACAAACGGAAAACTCTCTCCATGACTTCAGCATCTGCCAGGTGGCCTCGCCTTCGCCTTCCAGCTCTCACCCAGCTCTGGTAACTCTATTTCTTCCTTATCTTTCGAATTTTGGGGTGCTAATAACTTCCAACGTTGCTAATCTCTGCATATCTTTAATCTCTGATGTGTTTCCATAATGCAGATCACACATCGGTAAATAGTTCTTCATAAAATCTCTCCATTTGAGGAATGAAGAGAGTCTTCATTCACCTATTCTGTGTCCTCTCAGAACCCTGAAGGATACACATGGTTTTAGTTAAGTCAAATGAGCCAGACTTTGGCAAAAGCACTGTTAACAATTGTTACCGTATTCCTTGGACTTGGGAGCAAGGTCACTGTCAGTCAGCTTGGTACTTCAGAGGATGGGAGTCTTGGACTTCTTCCTCTCTGGAGCCAGGGAAGTTTGAGGTCTGGACTTGAAGAAAGAGCCCCAAGGTCTCTTTGGTGGGCAGTCATCTGGCCCCTGCAACATGGTGATAGGTGGAGGGAGATACTAAGGATAGACAAGGCCAGTAGGAAATTCCTCATGGAAAGTCATGGTCCATGGACTCAAACCAAATCAGGCTCAGATTAGTTAACAGTGGCTCAAAGATGGGGAAAAAATACACACTTTCCCCTTTTATTTTTTGAGATGGAGTCTCGCTCTGTCACCCAGGCTGGAGTGCAATGGCGTGATCTTGGCTCACTGCAACCTTTGCCTCCTTGGTTCAAGCGATTCTCCTGCCTCAACCTCCTGAGTACCTGGGATTACAGGTGCCTGTAATCTTTCGTATTTTTCATAGAGATGAGGTTTCACCGCGTTGGCCAGGCTGGTCTTGAACTGCTGACCTTGGGTGATCCACCTGCTTGGCCTCCCAAAGTGTTGGGATTACAGGCGTGAGCCACTGTGCCAGGCCTCGTTTTTAACTAGTTCAGTTAAAAACTGATTTTGGCACCCCACCCTGCACCCCCCAAAAAAACCTTACAAAACCAGAAAACAAAAATAATGAAAAAGATAAGATACTCCAAACTTGAGGTTCAGCCAAATATATATGTATCTATTTAGTTGTCAGCTTTGGGGTTTGGGACATCAGTGCACTCTGCGACGACTTTGGTCACAATTGTCAGCATGTGATTGCAGAAAAACAGGAGGAATTCTCCCCTGATGTATCCTCTACAGTAGACATGCTCCTTTTTCTGCCTGCTCTGCCTCTCTTCCTTTGGAACTCTCCTACACTTCATATGATTTGTGGGTCCTGTCAGTCAAGAGTTCTTACTTCCTCTGCCATGAGGGCAGGTTCACAACCCAGTCTGACTGACAGGATTACTCTGGAACTGTGCATGCTCTAGGGACAGACCTGAGGCCAGTCAGAATCCTGCATTAATGTAGATCTTGGGAAAGGAGCGTTAAGAGCCAAGTAAGCTGGAAGCCGCCCCAGCCATCTTGCCTCACAAAGAGAAAGTCTTTCAGATCATAAAGCCAAGCAGAGTGAGAGATGGAATAGGAAGAGGGCCCTTGGCTGTTATTGGACCCCCTGAAACCAGTGAGGCCTGTAGCCCGCCCCTGGGACATCCATTCATGTGAGCCAATTATTTCCCCATTTAAAATTAAGTGGCCAGGTGCAGTGGCTCACACTTGTAATCCCAGCACTTTGGGAGGCTGAGGCGGGAGGATTACTTGAGCTCAGGAGTTCAAGACCAGCCTGGGCAACATAGCAAGACCCCATCTTTAAAAAAAAAAAATTAACCTGGCCAACATTGACGAAATCCCGTACATATGTATATGTATATGTATATATGTATGTGTGTGTGTGTGTGTGTGTGTGTGTGTGTGTGTGTATAAAATATCTGGGTATGGTAGTATGGTTATAGTCCCAGCCACTCAGGAGCTTGAGGTGGGAGGATCACCTAAGCCCAGGGAGGTCAAGGCTGCAGTGAGCCAAGATTCTGCCATTGCACTTCAGCGTTGGTGACAGAATGAGATCCTGTTTCAAAAATTAAAATAAGTAGAGCTAGTTGTGTTTCTATCATTGTAAAGGGAAAAGGCCTCCATTAATTCTTCTACCCTCGAGAATAACTAATGTTAATATGAGAGGGTGTGTTGTCTTTCTCCATAAAGCTTCAAAGAAGAGAGTTGTTGCTGTTCCACCTGTTTCAACAGAGAAGCTCCTCCTTCTACAGATCTCCCTAAATTCCTCCTGTGGCAACGTTACTACATAACTACGATTCCTTTGTTCTTTTCTTCAGTTTAATGTGCAAAATAGCTGGTTACCATCTTCCATAGAGTAATCTTTGTATCCTCCAGGGAAGACAATTGTTGACAGTTAACACGTTACCCCAAAGCTCGTTTCCTCCAGGCCGACAATCCTAGTATAATAACTTAAGTCCTTCTCAAAGATATTTTTTAGTATGCTTATCTCTGAATTGTAGACTTTTAAACCTTCTCTTTTGATCTGGAAAGGTAAAGGAAGCCCCCCAAAATTGGCATGGAAGGTCTTTATTGAAAAACCATAAAAATTCTATTACTGAAATGAAGTAAGACTAAGTAAATGCCGTCCAAGTAAATAAGGCACAAAAAATTTCAGGCAGAAAAAAATACAAATATGTGTATCTATAAACTTTTTTTTGGTTCAGTTCGAAATAGTTTAAGAGCAGATGGCAGTTTTGTGGGGATGCAGTTAGTGGTTGGGTTTTGCCATCTTATCAATGTGTTGTGTGAAGAAGGAGGTAAGGGAGCCTTTGATGTGTAGGAGGTGGGGTCTCTATGGGGTTCCTCACTGCTTGAATCTTCAAAGCTCGTAAGTAGAGGCTTGGTTGCTCCCAGGTTCTGTAGAAATAAGCATTTTGGGAATCAAGCCAAAATATGGGCTTGGTGGCTCATGCCTGTAATCCCTGCACTTTAGGAGGCCAAGGTGGGAGGATCACTTGAGGCCAGGAGTTCCAGACTAGATTGGGCAATATGGCGAGATCCTGTCTTGACTATATATATATATTTTTTTAAAGTAGCAGGCCCTTGGGGCACACCTGTAATCCCTGCTACTTGGGAGGCTGAGATAGGAGGATCACTTGATCCTGGGAGGCTGAGGCTGCAGTGAGTTATACTTTGCCACTGCATTCCAGTCTGGGTCTCAGAATGAAACCCCATCTCCGCAACAACGAAAAAAGAGAATCAAGCCAAAAAGACTAGAATTCCTAAAAGCATGTCTCATACCAGGAAGCTTTAATTAAAGTAGGGGAGGTACCGATTTCCCTAAAGAAAGACCTCTGTTAAAGATCTATTTGTGACCTTAATGAATATGCTATTACTTCAAAAGCCTTTTGGACAAGACCCAAAATTTTACCATGAGGTCCTTTCTTCTGTCTTTAGCCTAGGAACATGATACAAAATCCTTTAAATAGAAAACTTGTTAGGTTTAAAGAGAATTCTTCTCTCGGTAAAATAACGTTCAGAACAATTAACTTTCAATTTTCTTTAATTACTTTTAAACATACATAAGTTCTCCAACATCAAAATAACACTGTGCCCCAGGGAATCCTGGGGGTCGAGTGGAGGCAGGGGGCTTGGTCCTCAGATAAGCTGTATTGCAGATAATCAGCAAATATTGCATGCATGTTCCCCAATAAACCAGTTAACAAAAGTCAACTCTTCCTTCTCCTCCCCATTTCCCCTCTTACCTAGTGTCTAAATATAATTCAATCATAGTTTGAGTAACTTCATTAAATTACCACCACTATCTTCAAAAACAGTATCTATTCCTGGTTAGCTAAATTACTTTGAGGCAAATTGAACATGTAAAAGTGGCTTGCACCTCTGTTTGCACATTCACGTTACCTGGGGAGCTTTAAAAAAAATGCCACTATCCTGGCTCCACTCCCAGAGGTTCTGTTTTAATAGGGATGGAAGGGAGGGCAGCAGCTATTAGTATTTTTTTTAAAGATCTGTACAATTTTAACCTGCAGTCAAGGTTAAGAGTCACTGATTTAGAGACTAAAATAGATCAATCGCGGGTTTCAAAGCAACTCACTAGGAAGCAGTGTGGTGTCACAGGAAAAGCATGAGAATCAGAGCTAGGTGTTTTTATCCTGTCTTTGTTCACTGGGCTCGATCAGGGTGCACAGTCTCTTTGTGCATCATTTCCTCACTGGTAAAACTGGGATAATTATGCCCACCTTACAGGGTTATTTTGAAGGAAAAAAGCTCCTGGCTCATGACAGAACCTTTACAGCAAGATCTGCTATTTGTGTAGCATTAACTTTTCCTGGAAAAACCATCTTCTCCCCTGTTCCTCTTAGTTGCCTCCTTGTGCCAATAGGAATCCAAATCCACACTGTTTCTGTAGACTCTGAATTCTCTGAATGTGCATGGATGGCACCAAAAGCCACATGAAGGTTGCAGTGTCTTAGGGTTTAAAAGACTTGTTACTTCCCGTGCTTTGCTGAGAACACCGAAAGTAGCATGGCTCAGTGAAATAAGCCTGAAGGTCTGAGTTCAGTTTTCTTACAAACCTACTGCGTTACTATCTCTGTTACTATGGAAAAATTATTAACTAGCTCCCATCCTCTCCGTGTCTTAATTGGTAAAATAGGATTCGACTAGATGATCTCCCAATTTTCTTTTAATAATCAGAGCCTGTTAGCTTTAAAGAGACTGTACGATCCAAGCCAGAAAAGCCTGCACATATTTTTTACCTGCTACAGGAGAAAATAGTGTCCAAGCAGCTTCTGCCATGAGGAGGTTCCATGAAGAGAGTAGATTTTTCTTCTGGAAGGCTGATTCTTTTGTAATCAATAGTGGAAAGCAGTTCTATCCTGACTTTTGGCTTGAGGACAGCATACGTGAGTCTCCCAGTCAGTCTTGATGGAGAGTAAGGTCTCTCAATTGATCTTAGGCTCAAAATGAAACCACATCAGAGCCTCCAGAGAGACTGAGCTTTCTGATTGCCAGAAAGGGACTTTACTGAATCCGTAGGACATAGAGATTAAATTGCCCATGCAAGATTTTGGACTAAAATTGTCAGTGCAGGTTGCACTTTAGAGGCTCTCTGGGTCCATTGTTTTCAAACTGAACATGCATCAGCATCACCTGGAGAGCTTGTTAAATCCCAGATTCCTGGACCCCACCCCCAGAGCTTCTGCCTGAGGTGGTCTGGGATGGAGCCTGAGGCTTTGCTTTTCTAACAGATTCCCAGGTGATGCATGTGGTACAGGTGGTGCTGTTCCTAGGATCTCACTTTTAGAAACACTGCTTTAGGTTTCACTCCACACACTTCTGTGTTGGTCTGTTCTTGCACTGCTGTAAAGGAACCCCTGAGGCTGGGCAATTTATAAAGAAAAGAGGTTGATTTGGCTCCTGGTTCTGCAGGCTGTACAAGCACGGCACCAGCATCTGTCCAGCTTCTGGTGAGGTCTCAGGAAGCTTTTACTGATGGCAGAGGGCAAATGGGGAGCAGGGGTGTCACCTGGTGAGAGATGAAGCAAGAGTTAGAAGGGAGGAGGTGCCAGGTCCTTTTAAACAGCCAGCTCTTGTGTAAACTAATAGAGCAAGAACTCACTCATGACCAAGGGGAGGGCACCAAACCATTCATGAGGGATCCAAACACCTCCCACGAGACTCAAGACTCGGCTCCACCATTGGAGTCACATTTCAACCTGAGATTTGGAGGGGGTGCTTATTCAAGCTATGTTAGTTGTTAAGAATCACCTGGAGCATTTGTCAAAAACACCAATTCCTGGCCCGGCACGGTGGCTCGTGCCTGTAATCCCAGCACTTTGGGAGGCCGAGGCGAGCAGATCACGAGGTCAGGAGATCGAGACCATCCTGGCTAACACAGTAAAACCTCGTCTCTACTACAAATACAAATATTAGCCGGGCGTGGTCACAGGTGCCTGTAGTCCCAGCTACTCGGGATGCTGAGGCAGGAGAATGGCATGAACCCGGGAGGCAGAGCTTGCAGTGAGTGGAGATCGTGCCACTGCACTCCAGCCTGGGCAACAGAATGAGACTCCATCTCAAAAACAAAAACAAAAACAGCAATTCCCAAGTCACTCCTGATTTAGTAGAGAGAGTCTGATTTAGTAGATTTACAGTGTGGCCCAGGCTGTTCTTATCATCAGGGGCCATGAGGAAACCCTGAGTCAATCAACTACCCATTAATTGCATGAGAGTCACTTGGGGAGATTTTAAACTCTGAAATGCTGATCCCTGGGACCTAGTCCCAAGACTCTAATTCTGAAGAGTGGAGCTGGGAGAGACTGCATTTTTAAAGCTCCTCAGATGACTCTGATGTGTAACTAAGTGGTCTCATTTTGTAGATGAGGACCCTAGGGAGGGTAAGGCATTGCTCGGAGCTACTGGCAGAAGCAGAGCCAGAACCCACATGGCCTAAATCCCTGTGCTCAGTCCACACTACCATTTTCCTTCTTGTCTTGAAACTGTCCCCACAGGGTTGCTAAAAACTGCATGCCAGGTTCTAGACAGAAACAGAGTTATAATAAAGCATAATTTGGGCTTCACTGCGGCCCACTTCCTTCTTGCTAAGTTATGCAGCACTAGATACCAACCCATTTGCATCCTCATTGTTCCTGTAGACAGGATCTCTGACATTAGACTCACAAGCCTTTTGTTTAAGGGTTGCTTAAGATGTTTTTCAGATCCTGAATTCCAGCAACCAGTTTAAAGACTCCACAGAGGAATGGGACCAGCATGAGAATACAGCTTCTTCATTTCCCTGTCCCAAGATTTCACTCTGCCTTCTTCGACTAAACAGTGACCACACTTCAGCCCACTCCAAAACTCTTAAAAACCCTAACTTCAAAGTCCTTAAGGGGGTGCATTTAAGAATCCCCTCTCATTTCCTCATTCAGTGACCCTATGATTAAGCCTCTTTCTCTGCTGCAACCCAGTATCTTGGTGTATTGACTTGCTTTGTGTCCCAGGCAATGAACCTATTATGGTTACAGTCTGGTCAGAGACAGTGGCTGTTTCCTCTGCCATTGACTTTCAAATGGAGAAGTCCAAGGAATGGGATATTACACTAAGATCCAATACTAGCTCTCTGACACCAACTGGAAGTCTCACAATTCAATTCTAACATTGACCTACTCTGAGTTAGTGTCAGATCCCACAAGTTAAAGGGCAAAGTCTCCAACAAGACTGCCGTTACCTCAGATGCCAGTCACAAATGTGGTCCCCAGGATACCCACACTTCTGTCTAATTTGACTACAAATTTTCATCATCTCACTATACAACCCCTCAAGTTTGATAACTTGTTAGAATGACACAGAACTCAGGGAAGCACTATATTTTGGATTACTGTTTTATTATAAAGGGCACAAATGAATAGCCAGATGAAGAGATACACAGGGCAAGGTCTGGAGGGTCCCCAGCCTAGGATCTTTGGTGTTCATGGAGCTGGTGTGCACCATCCTCTTGGTACATTGATACATTCACCAGCCAGGAAGCTCCCTTCTACTTTGGTGTCCAGAGTTTTTGTGTGGGTTTCATTGTGTAGTCTTGATTGATTAAATTATTGGCCATGTAACTGAACTTAAATTCTGGTTGCTCTGTCTTCCACAGAGGTTGGGGGAAAGGCTGGAAATTCCAACCCTCCAATCACATGCTTGGTCTTTCTATTAATAGCATGATCAGTCCCTCCCTTGAAGCTCTCTAAGGGCCCACGACCAGTCACATTAACATAAGCTCAAATGTAGTCAGAAGGGTCTTGTTATCTCCTGTTGGGAAATTCCAAGTATTTTTGAAGCTCTGTCCAGGAACTGGGGACAAAGACCAGATCTATTTTTTATGATATCACATGCACCCACATCCTCCCAATCTCAGCCTCCCTTGGAACACAGCTTCTTAGATTATCATCTTCCTACCCCTCACCATTTACAAGGAGTAGAGCAATTAGGCAGATTCAAATGCAGACTGAACAGCTGCTCAGCTCAAAAAAAAAAAAAATTATCTTTGCCTTCACAGAAACAGCCTCTGGGTTCCAGTTCTGCTTAGCCTCTTGAGCAATGTTTTCTCTCTAGATGTGCATAAGGGATTTGGTTTCTGGCCAGCAAGGTCCCAGCTGTAACTTGCTCATTCCAAGTAACACAGTTCAGAGAGCTCTGCATCTTGGTTAATAACACCTAGTTTTGGCCAGGTGGGGTGACTCACGCCTGATGGGAGGCTGAGGCAGGCGGATCACGAGGTCAGGAGATCGAGACCATCTTGGCTAACACGGTTAAGCCCTGTATCTACTAAAAATAAAAATAAAAATTAGCCAGCTGTGGTGGCAGGTGCCTGTAGTCCCAGGTACTCGGGAGGCTGAGGCAGGAGAATGGCGTGAACCCAGGAGGCGGAGCTTGCAGTGAGCCAAGATGGCGCCACTGCATTCCAGCCTGAGGGACAGAGCAAGACTCCGTCTCAAAATAATAATAATAATAATTACAATAATACCTAACTTTTGTTTATTGCATTACTACTTTCAAAATACTTTACATTTCTAAGTTAAGCTCCACAGTGAACAACCCTGTGAGACAGGCAGGAAAATGTAATAATAATTTCCTTATTTTTTATTCAACAAACAACAAGTGCTTACTGTGGATGTGCTCAGCACAATTCTAGCTACCGAGAAACAAACATGAACAAAATGTGGTCCTTGCTGTCATCAGATTGGGAAACCATAGTTCAGATAAATGGAGTGACACCTACTCAAAGCCAAGCAGACCTTCTGATTCTTTTCCCAGTGCTTTTTCTGCTACAGGGTGCTAGGAGCACGAGCCTTTCATTAGAAAAGTCTCAGGGTTAGGCTGACAAAGTGTGAGGTGTACCAAGGGGACCTGTGCAGGACATAGAGCTTCTCTAGGATGCAAAGACCCCAGGTGACTTTCCCCTTGTTTTAGCTTCCTGTGGCTGTTGTAAAAAAAAAAAAAAATGACCACAAACTTGACAGTTTAAAACAACAAAAATTTGGTATTTCCCAGCTCTGGAGGCCAGAAGTCTGAAATCAGCATCAGTATCACTGGGCTGAAATCAAGGTTTTAGCAGGGTTGCACTTTCCCCAGAGGCTCTCAGGGAGAATCTGTCCTCTGCCTCTTCTGGCTTCTGGTGGCTGCTGGCATTCCTTGGGTTGTGGCCACATGGCTCCAATCGTTCCAGCCAACATTGGAGAAACTTTTCCTGTTCCATCTTCACATCACTGTGTGTGTGTGTAAAATTTCCCTCTGCTCTCTCTTATAAAGATACTTCTGATGGTATTTAGGGCCCACCTGGATAATCAAAGGCTCTTTTTCCAAATAAGATAACACTTACAAGTTCCAGAGATCATTTATGACCGTTATTCAGCTTACTAAACTCCTGCAAACCAAAGCACTCTTTGAGAAGCGGTCATAAGTGTTTATCTTTTCATCTCCAAAGATGCTCCACACAGAGGCCGGAACACCGGCTCTAGAAGGGAGCATGAAAAATCCAGTCCAACGCAAGCCTTTCACAGGTTACTTGTGCCAAGTTAATGTTCACAGAAGGATCTGGCCTCCTACTTTCCAGTTTTCCAGTCTTGGGCTGTTTTGCAAAGAAGTTGAGACAGGCCACAGACCCTTCTTGGGGGCCTCCTGGGCACCCCCCAAGCATGGAAATAAGGGAAAATTTTGAGTTCCTTCAAGGGAAACTCCAGGCACCGAGCCAGCTTTGAAAAGTAAAGGAGCAACTGATAAGCAAGAAGGCAATAGTAACCTAAAACAATAGCCAAGGAAGTCAGAGTCACAGAGTGTTTGGTTCCTTTATAGAAACTAAAGATATGGGTTTATTTGGGTTTTTTAAATACTGAGTCTCGCTTTGTTGTCCAGGCTGGAGTGCAATGGTGCAATCTTGGCTCACTGCAACCTCCACCTCCCGGGTTCAAGTGATTCTCCTGCCTCAGCCTCATGAGTAGGTGGGTTTACAGGTGCCCGCCTCTGTGCCCGGCTAATTTTTGTATTTATTTTATTTTATTTTATTTTATTTTTTAGTAGAGACAGGGTTTCACCACGTTAGTCAGGCTGGTCTTGAACTCCTGACCTCAGGTGATCTGCCTGGCTTGGCCTCCCAAAGTGCTGGGATTACAGGAGTGAGCCACCGTGCCCAGCCGATAATATCTTAATATATGTCCCCTGAGAAACTTAGAAACCCAGCCTAACTTAGAAACCCAGACCTCTACCAAGTGGACCCACTGGCTGCACAGACCTCAGATGAGGGGGAATGGAGGACTGAAGTCTGACTGTGATTCTTTATTCTAAATTTCTTCCTGAGGGGCCTGGATGGAGCCACACCCACGGTCAGAATTTAAAGTTCCTTCCTGCCAACCCCAAGTTTTTAGACAAAACTTTCCTTCCTTAGCCAACTGCAAATCAGAAAATCTCTGAATCCACCATCCACCTGTGGCCCCACTTTGAGATGTCCCACCTTTATAGGTCAAACCACTGTGTAGGCTTCACATATTGATTTATGACTTTGCCTGTTACTTCTGCCTCCCCACCTTTAATGGAAGCCATTGAGGAGTTCGGGTCTTAAGCAGTAGCTGACTGATTCTCTTGCTTAGTGGCCTGCAATAAGTGCCTCACCTGTTCTCACTGCAAATCCTGATGTCAATGTTTGGCCTTGCTGCACCAGGTGGGCAGACCCAAGTTTGGTTCAGTAACAAAGTTTTCCACTGAGATCAGGATATACACTCTTTACATATATGAGTCCCTCCCCTCTGGACTCACTCACTGCCTGGGACTCTCTCCAAAAGTTGCTACTAGGGTGCTGATGTGAAGGCAGAGGGGATAGAGGGTGGGCAGAGGAGGTGGGCAGGAGGTCACAGCCTGGTTGGGAACTGAAAGAGGGTGGAGAGTGGACACTGTCCATCTGGCATAGGGAAGATCCTTGGTCTGGTCCAAGGATGGTCCGGAGACCACTGCCAACTATTCCTTCCCCCTCCATCTCTAAGCAATTCTGCAATAGACCTTCCCAAGGGAGCTGGTTCACAGCCTCCCTACAAAATCCCAGGCTGCCAAGGCTGATAAGAGACCAGAGCAAAGGCATTGCCATGTCTCATTAGAGCCAGGCTGCAAGGTAAGGGCTCTGGGAATGCGGAGATCAGGGAGCCTTTGAAGTGCAAATTCAGAACTGCTGAAGGGCCTTGGTTCTTTAAAGGGAGATTCCTCTTAGTGACTGGTTAGGTGAAAACTCTGGAGGTTTCATGTCATATAGCATAAAAGCCAAATACTAGCAGGGAGCTTGCCTGAAAGGACAAATACATCTGGAAGAAAGTCATCCTCTTTCTTAAACTAGCTCCCCCTGCCTGCATGGCTGCTAGCAGCCTAGCAATTCTCTGCCCTGCAGGCTGAGCCTCCATTGTCAATGGAGGACAATGAATTCTCCATCATTCCTGATATCCAACCAGCTAGCAAATCTTAGAGACTTGCTCTCTGCAATTCAATTCACATCAGTCGTTTCCTTGTACCACTGCCCTGTTTATGGTCCTCATTTCTACGCCTCATCTTTATTTTAATTACAAAAATAGCACATGCTTGTTTCAGAAGGGCCCAAGAGCCAAAGAATGCAAGGAGTGAAGTTCTAGAAGCTGCAAAAGACACGAAAGCAAGTTCTCCCCTGGAGCCATCTTGATTTTGGACCAGTGAAACTGGTTTTGAACTTCTTACTCCAGAACTGTACGAGAATAAATGTATGCTGTTTTAAGTCACCACCTTTGTGGTAATTTGTTACAGCAGCCACAGGAAACTAATACAGGTTGTTTCCAACTTTTCAGAATTATAAATATTTTATTGTCTTATAAATCTTCATGGGAACCCTTGACTCCAATCTCCCCTGGCTTGGGTCTGTCCTAAGTAGCCACTCCTCTGCTACGGGGCCTGTAATGATTCCCCTACTGCTGGAAAGTGAAATCCAAACTCTTTAGCTCGAAGATCCTCCACAACCAGCCCCAAACCACTTTTCTAGCCTTAAAATCAGCTATTTGTTCTATGACCACTCCACTCTCAACATGCACTTTGTACATTCATTGCCAGCTCACAAGATTTTCTGTCTATGAAATGGCTTCCTTAGCCCTTAGCTCTTCTCTGCAGATGGCTCGAAGCTCCAGCTCAAATGGGATCCCTTCCTATAAGGTCCCTCTTTGTCCTCCACCCACACCCAACAGGATGTTATTTTTGCCTTCATTGAACATGCATAACACTTTGCATCTCTTTCCTGGCAAATATCAATTCTATCTTGTGTTTGAGTTATACATTTATATATTATGTGCCTAGCACTTAAACAGTTTGCTGAATTATTTGTTCATTAAATATTTGCTGAATTGAATTGAAATGTGAACTATGCTATGTAGAGAAGAAGGCCTACTTGTTGCTTGTGCTCTAGTTTGATATGGTAAGATGGAATCACCATTGATTTAACCAATTTTTAAATTTATTTTTATTTTTATTTTTTTGAGACAGTCTCACTCGGTCCCCCAGGCTGGAGTGCAGTGGTGCAATCTCGGCTCACTGCAAGCTCTGCCTCCCAGGTTCACGACATTCTCCGGCCTCAGCCTCCCGAGTAGCTGAGACTACAGGCGCCCGCCACCACACCCGGCTAATTTTTTGTACTTTTAGTAGAGATGGGATTTCACCGTGTTAGCCAGGATGGTCTCGATCTCTTGACCTCGTAATCCGCCCGCCTTGGCCTCCCAAAGTGCTGGGATTACAGGCGTGAGCCACCGCACCCAGTCCAACAATTTTTTTAATTTTAATTATTCTGAGTGTATAATAGTTGTATAAACATAATTGATTTTAACAACAAAAGATGGTCATTAGAAATGGCCAAGTAAAGTCAGCTTAAATCATGCTTCTAATTTTTCAAACCTAATCCTTAATTTATTGTGCCTTTAGAGATGCAAGAATAAATGTGATGGCAATTCATGAGAAAAGAACTGGAGAATATGAGCTGACCCCAAACTCAATAGTGATTCCCCACTGTGATTCCGTTGTTAAAAACACTAATACCATCTCAGGCTGCATTTACAAGAGTTGCAAGTCCAGAACAAAGAGGAGATTGTCTCATGGTTCTTTCAGATGCATCTTCTGTGGGAGATCTGATCAATGTGGTCACTGTGTTTTTCAGACCTAGTAGAGCCTCAGAATAACTTGTGAAGCTGTTAAAAAAAAAAATACAGACTTCTGCATCCCACCTCCAGGAAATTCTGCATTCGTAGGTTGGGAGAAGGCCTAGGAGTTTGTATTTTAACCAGCACAAATTATTGGAGGCTCACTGGTCTAAAAAAAAACTCTTGTTTGTTTCAGTGATGGAACTCTATTATTCAGAATATTGTGTCCAGTTTCCGGTTCCAGAGTCTCAAGCTCCCTGATTATTGTTTCTGCCAGGTCTCAGCATAATCCATCCCAAGTGTTGGTCTTTGATGCTGTACCTACCGGGAAACCAACGGAGCAACAAATCAATTGGCTAGCAGGGAAGGTCTGGGGTTTTAACTAACTGGTTATTTTTTGGTCAGTCACTGTCTTAGTTCATTTATGTTGCTATAAAGGAATACCAGAGACTGGGTAATTTATAAAGAGAAGAGGTTCATGTGGCTCACTGTTCTGCAGGCTGTACAAGAAGCATGGCATCAGCATCTGCTTCTGGTGATGCCTCAGGCTGCTTCCACTCATGTTGGAAGGAAAAAGCGAGGCTGCCTGTGCAGAGATCACACGGAGAAGGAGGAAGCAAGAGAGGACGTGAGTGGAGACGCCAGGCTCTTTTTAACGATCAGCTCTACAGGGGACTAACTGAGCAAGAACTCACCCACTCCCCTCTACCCCTGTCTCCTGAGGGGCATTAGTCAATTCAGGAGGGACCCACCCCTGTGACTGTAACCCCTCCCAGTAGGCCCCACCTCTAACACTGAGGATCGAATTTCAACATGAGGTTTGGGAGACACACGTCCGAATTATAGCAATGAGCCTCAATTCCTCCATCGGGAATGTGGGCTGTAATTCACAAGCTCCAGCCACCTGATTGATTTCACAGAGATGAATGAAACAGGCCTAGACTATCATCACAGCAGAGGAGCCACCAAAAACAAAAATACGTAAGTGTTACCGGTAGTCTTGTGAGTGTGGTGGTGATAAGATCCTCAAGTGACCGTGGTGCAGGTAGAACTGGTACCTTGTCTGAGTCGATCCTATATTCCTGAAGGAGATCTGAATGATTCAAGGAAGTTATATTACCCATAACCCTTCCCTCACCCCAGAGGCAGAAACAGTATCAGCCATTCCCACTGCCTGGGGTGGAAGCAGTGGAAGTGGTGGGGAGAGCCAAGGCCATGGGTCACAAAGCTCTGCCTCTCTCACGCTGTCCATTCTAATGTCAGAGATTTACTGCTGCCACCCACATTAACAAAGCCACTGGAAGAGCCCAGTCCAGACAGATGACCAAGAGGAAGGAATCATTTCTCAGCCTTAGCACTATTGGTTTATCTTGTGCCCACTGTCATTAACCTGTGAGAGTGAAAGCAGGCTGGCCCATTTCATTTTCCGATCACCCAGTTTATGGCATCGTTAAAATTAATAGAGCACTCATCTCAGCACATAACGAGCAGACCATGTTGAGGAGGCAGTGTTCCTGGAAAAATACTGGCAGAGGCCCCGAGTCTATGTTCACTGTCAGCGTGGTGCAGCCCGGGCCCAGGTCCCACGCAGGTGCTGAGAACAGCTGGGAACCTTAGCTAAGATAACTGCACTGTTAAAATGGGCACTCTGTGTTCTCAGCCCCATTGTTCCTTGGTAGAAGGCACTGATGAGCTGAAGCAGTACTTGGAGTCAGAGAGGAGAAAGTAAGACAATTTGCACATTGATTTCTTTTGGGTAAAAGAGGAAGTGGAGGCTTTCTGTTTGGGATGATGAAAAAGTTCTGGAAATGGATGGCAGTGACGGTTGCCCAATATCGCTCAATATACTTAACACCACTGAACTGTATACTTAAAAACGGTTAAAAGTTTTCTGGGTAAGTTTTATGTTTTGTGTGTTTTATCACAATTTTTTTCAAAAAAGAAAGTGAGTCAGCTCATTCATAGAGAAGTCCAGTCATAAGTCTGAAGGTAGCTAAACATTTGCCACTATGTTGCTTCTTGATTTTAAATGTCACACTGAACACATAACCCTCTGTCCTCTCAGTACAGTTGACTTATCTTGGGAACAGTGACAAAAGCTGCCTCTTGTGGTAGGGACCATACATGTGCTTTTGCTGGTTCTAATTATGGGGCATTTGAGAACAAAGGGGGCTTCTTCAAACACTTCAGTAATTTTCAGAAAGGCTTGAGCCCTGGTTGGGTGCGGCGGCTCATGCTTGTAATCCTGGCACGTTGGGAGCCTGAGGCAGGTGGATCATCTGAGGTCAGGAGTTCAAGACCAGCCTGGCCCACATGGTGAAACCCCATCTCTACTAAAAATACAAAAATTAGCCAAGTGTGATGGTGGGCATCTGTAATCCCAGGTACTTGGGAGGCTGAGGCACGAGACTTGCTTGAACCTGGGAGGCAGAGGTTGCAGTGGGCCGAGATGGCGCCACTGCACTCCAGGCTGGGCGACAGAGACAGACTCTATCTTAAATGAGAGAGACAGCAAGAGAGAGAGAAAGGCTTGAACCCTTTTTAAGACAGGAATAATACAGCATAGTTGCAGGACAATAGAAAATTCCAGGCAGCAGTTTTACATGACTAGCAAAAGGAAACTATTAAAATAGCTGCAGAAGCTAGGAATGGCTAAGACCCTGAAAAACCAGGGTGTGGACCAAGCGCTGACTAAGACCGACTGGACCAAACGTGGTGCTGGACTTGAGCCAGGTTTCACCTAGGACCTCACTATCTGCTCATTAACATCCTAAATCACACATTCACCAGAGCCATGACAGTTCCAGGAACAACCATATTCGGTGTAAAAATGGGCAGCACCACAGTTCCAAGAAATCTCCACCTTTTCCCAGGAATTTTCATGGATCTTCTACCCCTTGGTTAAAGAAACCTATACAGGCAGCAGCCCTGAACCCCCTTGGTGGATCTCTGTCTTGAGTACACCTGCATTCCCGTTTTACGAGTGTGTGCTTTTCCCTTTGCAACAAACCTCTGTACTTTTGCTACTATTTCCCAATTCATCTTTGAATTCATTCTTGCAATGGCGTCAAGATCCTGGACACTGGTTGTGGTCGAGGTTCCACCAGCATTTGGGGACCTCCCTCAGCCTACTGGTGTCACTTTTATCCTTTGAAAGATAGATAGAAAAGCATTTGTCCCAGGGGTAGACCATCCTATTTTTCCTATGGAAATAATAAACAATTCATCCTAGTTAGTGTAGATAATATATTGTTTATACACCAACTCACCATTTGTCTTTCTCTTCCAGAACTGGATACTTCAGTAGAGTGCTGGACTACGTAAGGACTTTTGCATTTCTGGCCCAGATTCACATCCCTCTGTTAAATTAAGTTTAGCCTAAAGCTGCCTCCTTACATATTTTAAGTTCAGCCTAAAGGTTTCTCCATACATTGTGAACTATTACCTAACTGGATGTGTGAATAGACTGTAACCTACTCTTTTGCCAGTCACCAAGTTTTGGCCAATCAAAGATAGCCAGCTGTTCAAACCATGTTCAAATAAGGCAAACACTGAGCTCTAACCAGTCCAGCTGTTTCTGTGCCTGACTTCCATCTTCTGTACCTCACTTTCCTGTTTCTCTCCATACATCCTCTGCAACCACAGCACAGAGTTCTCTGAACCTATTGAGGTTCAGGGGACTGCCCAATTCATGCATTGATTTGCCCAACTAAAACTCTGTTAAATGCAATTTGTCTAAAGTGTTTCTTTTATCACCTCTGCCGTATTTAGGCCTCTGAATGTCTTCACCATCCAGAGACAAATAGAATGACAAGGCTGAAAGAGGCCTGAAGTGTCCACTTCTCTGAAACCCCATGCAATGCTTGTCAAATAAATGGTCCAGACACCTCTGACTTGGCTTTCTCTTTGAGAAAAGTCACACCCTGTAACTATTACTCATTCTATATCCCCAGAGTGCCTGCCGACATACATCAGAGCTCAGACATAAATTAGGTTTCAGACACAAATAGATTTTTTAAGTATCTTCCACCAATCTCTAGATCTCTATTGGCTTTAGATTGGGTTATTTTAATCTTCCAGGAAGACTTTTGTAGGCTCAGAAATTTCAGATCAATTCACATTTTCTACTTGCAGTTTCTAGCTGGAAATCATGTATGGAAGCTGAGTCATCTCCGTTTCTCCTAGAGCCTGAGCTGGCTGTCACCGAGGCCTTGCTCATTATGCAGACTCATTCACCTGCATACCAAAAGCAGCACCTGACGGTCGGTCGTGGAAGATTTCCATCCTCACAGGTCATGGAATGCGTCTGCACTGGAATACTTGTTGTTTATCACCTACACTAAGGATTTACAACTGTCTAAGCGTTGTATTTCTAGTGACTGTATTCTGAATGAAAATCTCCTGCCCTGAAGCAAGGACAACTTCTTTATTCACATGGAGAATTATAGCAGGTAAAGGGGGGAAAAAAATCCCTCTCTTCATATGTGCAGAATAAAAATCTTATTAAAATAAGACCTTTCAGGTGCTTCCTTTCACTGTTCATTTGGGAAGGTATTTCACAGATGGTATGAACACCCTGAAATGTTGCCCGGTCGGAAATCTTTTATCTGCAGCTTTAGAAGAACAAAGGGTATAACATATGGAAAGGCAGTAGATGGCACAGCTAAGGACAGGGACAGGAATGCAAATTATGATTCTTGTCTCAAAATATTTCTGGTTGGTTTCTACCCACCGAGGGCCATCTCTGGGTGCAGGGTAGAGATTGCACATGGCGTGATTAAGGGCACTGTGACTTCTTGACACCAATGCAGAACTGCGAGCTTTGCAAGTCCTTGCCCTTTATCAAAGACACACTTTTTTTTTTTTTTTTTGAGATGGAGTCTTGCTCTGTCGCCCAGGCTGGAGTGCGGTGGCGCGATCTTGGCTCACTGCAAGCTCTGCCTCCTGGGTTCATGCCATTCTCCTGCCTCAGCCTCCTGAGTAACTGGGACTACAGGCACCCACCACCATGCCTAGCTAATTTTTTTTTTTTTTTTTTTTTTTTTTGTATTTTTAGTAGAGACAGGGTTTCACTGTGTTAGCCAGGATGGTCTCAATCTCCTGACCTCGTGATCCGCTTGCCTTAGCATCCCAAAGTGCTAGGATTACAGACGTGAGCCACTGCGCCCGACCCAAAGACATACTTTTAAAAGAAATGAGGAAGGTGGATTTTCATTTTTACAAAGTCATCGTCGGGATGGGTAAAACTGTGTTTCCCCAAAATTTGTATGTTAAAGTCCTAACCCCTAGTACTTCACAATGTAACCTTATTTGGAAAAAGGTCATTGTAAATGTAATTGATAGATGATACTGGAGTAGGGTAGGCCCCTAATCCAGTATCACTGGTGCCCTTATAGATAAAGGGGAATTTGGATACAGAGACAGAGAGAAGACCGTGTGAAGACACAGGGAGATGCTATCTACAAGGAACACCAAAGATTCCCAGAAAGCCACCAGAAGTAAGGGGAAAGGCATTAAACTGATCTTCCCTCACAGCCCTCAGAAGGAACCAGCCCTCTTGACACCTTGATCTTGGACTTCTACCCTCTTGAACTGTGAGAAAATACATTTCTGTTGTGTAAACTACCCAGCTTGTGGTTTTTTGTAATGATAGCCCTAGAAAACTAACACAGTGGTCAAACTGAAAGCATTTATTTCAGTGTATTGTTTTTGCAAAGTCATAGAAGCTGTAATACCTAAAAGTACAATTTTATTTTCAAAGCATTATGACTAGAAATATTTCTTACTATCTTGATTTCTATTCTATTGCTCATACACACTCCTCATGCACACATGTAGATTTGTATATAATTCATAGAGTCTTTCTCTATTCCTGATTCCTTATGTTTGGAATTCCTATTCTTGGCCCTTAAAAACATTTCCAAAGACTTCTTGTCTTAGATCCCTCCCTCCCTCCCTCCCTCCCTCCTTCCCTTCCTTCCTTCCTTTCTGCCTGCCTCTCTGCCTGCCTCCCTGCCTGCCTGCCTGCCTTCCTTCTTTTCTTCTCTTTCTTTCTTGCTTATTGCAGCTGAAAATGTTCTCT